TTTTGTTGTGGGGGGGGGGGGGGAAGAATGGAGACACATCCTGAGCTGTGCAGTACAGTTTATATGACAGTTTTAGAGGGGGGGTGGGGGAGAGAAGAGAGACAGAGACACATCTCAGCTGTGTGATGTCTGTACCAACAGGTTTTTTTTTTAGGGGGGTGGGGTTCTACATGAGGGAAGAGGCTGCCTTTAGGATTTTAGTTAGCACACCTGTATTGCAAGCAGCTACTTTAGCGTTACATCAGTCCCGACAGGGGGTGGGGGTTCGGTAGGTGGTGTGCTCGCTTCTGTTGACGGGGTGGGGCAAACGCTTGTATAACGGTAGGGGAAACACTGTATTATATATAAATACTAAAACAAACTACTACTTACTACTATTCCTACTTTGTGGTTTTTCACTTATCGCGGGTCTTCAGGGTACGGATCCCCCACGATAAACGAGAAACTACTGCTGAAATCAAACGTGAGTTTTTGTTCTTGTGCTTTTCACTTTTGTGTTCAATAACAGCATCAGTCTCAATAAAAAAGCAACAAGTTCAGCTTAAGTTCCTTAAATTTTCCTGCTGATGCACGTTGGCTGCTGACAAACATTTTGTTACAGATTCTTTTCAGTGCAACTTCTCATGTTTTACTTATGAAAGCTGTTTTTGTTTCTTTTTTTTTTACAATCAGAGCAGCTGAAAGAACTTTCTTCTTTGTAACTTCATGTGACCTCACTGAACGTTCAACCTCTGGCTGCACAGCTAAAAGATTATTCACCTGCGTGGATTTTTGTGTGCTCCACAAAGTCCCGCTTCCTTCCAAACGCTGCCTTGCAGACAGAGCAGTTGAACGGTTTTTCTCCTGTGTGGGTTCTCAAGTGTTGCTGAAGATGTCCTTTAGATTTGAAAGTTGTCTTACAGATGGAACAGCTCACAGACTTCTCTCCGGTGTGGGTTTTTGCGTGTTGCACGAGATTCTGCTTGGACTTGAAAGCTGCCTTACAGATGGAGCAGCTGAAGGGCCTTTCTTCCGTGTGGGTTTTTACGTGTCGCAAAAAATTTGGTTTCCAGTTGAAAGTCGCTTCGCAGATGGAACAGCTGAAAGGCTTCTCGCCCGTGTGGGTGCTTTCGTGTCGTACAAGATGCTGTTTAAATTTGAAAGCTGCGTTACAGACGGAACAGCTGAAAGGTCGTTCTCCGCTGTGGGTTCTTGAGTGTTGTACAAAATTTTGTTTCCATTTGAAAGTCGCCTTACAGACGGAGCAGCTGAAAGGTCTTTCTCCTGTGTGGATTTGGTTGTGTCTTAACAGGTTCGATCTGCTGGTGAACACTTTACTACATTCAAGGCACTTGTAAGTTTTTCTACCGCTGTCACACGTTCTGTCACCAGCAGTCATTTGATTCATTTCGACATCATGTAAATCTGACTGTGGTTCACTGCTCCCCCAGTTTCTATCACTGACATCATTTGAAGTTTTATCTTCTGGCTCGGATTCAAAATAGTGATCTGGATCTGGTCCCACAGAGTCCCTGCTGTTCTCGGTCTGGTTGAGATGAAACTCTGAGGGTTGAGCTTCCTCGTCGCTCTTCTCAGGAACAGAACTGGACGTTGAGATATCAGTCGTCTCTTTTTCTTGTTTCAAGTCTGTTTTTTGGGGGGGCTCCTGGTCCAGTCTGGGCCTCCAGTTCTGCTGTTCAGGAGGAAATTCCTCTGTTGTCGTCATCAGCTGCTGCACATCTGCAGGAAACAGAAGCACAGACGTGTTATAGGATGGACATGAATTTATATCTAGAGCTATCAAAGCAAACACATTTAAAATATATTGAAGTAAATGTTTCATAAAGTCTGGTTATTTTTCTGTACGGACCATCATTTTTTCTTTTAGCTTGATTTAAAATATTAACCTATTAACTACGTTTCTTTACCAAATTAGTCTTGGTTTCAAAGCAGTTTTTTCCTAATTCCTATTTTTGCAGAATGTACCAAATATTTCTAGAAAGAGAAGTAAAAGTTAATAAATATAATATATATATATATATATATATATATATATATATATATATATATATA